GGGCCGCCGCCGCGACGGCCGAGCAGCAGCAGCAGCAGCAGCAGCCGTCACCCAGCCGCAGCAGCAGCGGCGCCGCGCTTGCTCGGGCCGGCTCTGACTGCAGCCTGGGGCCGGCGTCGGCGGGCGCCGTCCGCGGCGCCAGTCCGCACCTGACGCCATCTGCCTCTGTGCTGTCTCTGGCGCGCCACGTCATCGACAGCGACTCGGGGCGCTCCTCTTGGACGGGCGACGAGGGGGAGGACGACGACGATGTGCTAGACACGCTCACAGAGCCCGACACGCCCACCGGCTGCAGCCCCTCCCCCGGCGCGGAGGGCTCGGTCGTGTTCTCCCGCGGCGGCGGCAGCGGCGGCGCCGCGCCCGGCGGCCTGCAGCTGAACAGCGCGCTCGGGCGCGCGGCCGCGGCGGCGCCGGCGCCGGCGGGGATGGAGCTACTCGCGGGCGCGTTTGGCGCGATAGGCCCGCGGGAGTCGATGGAGGACCGGCAGCTGCTGCGCGGCTGCCTGGGCGGGGACGCGGCTGTGCACCTGGTCGCCGTGTTTGACGGTCACCGCGGCCACGAGGCGGCGGCGTTTGCAACAGCGCACCTGCCGCGCGCGCTGCAGCTCGCCTCCCTCAAGCAGGCGACGCGGGGCGGCAGCGGCAGCAGCAGCGGCGCGGCGGCGACGGCGGCAGCAGATGCGTACGCGCCTGTGGGCTCGCAGCCGACCATTGGCGCGAGCCCCGCGGCCGCGGCGCTGCGGGACGCGTTTGTCGACGTCGATGCAGCCTTCCGCGCAGAGTGGACTGCCGCGCAGCAGGGGTCTGCCGGCAGTGTCGCCTCTCTTAGCAGTAGCACCAGCGGCGCCAGCGGCTTCGGCGGCGGCGCCCCCAGCGCGGGCCCGACCCCCGCCGGCCCCTCTGGCGGCGCGCCGCGCGGCGCCGCGGGCCGCTTCCCGGGCTGCACGGCGCTTGCCGCGGTCGTCGCCGGCGGCCGCCTGTTGGTCGCCAACGCTGGCGACTGCCGCGCCGTTGTCAGCCGCGGCGGCGCCGCGCTCGGGCTCAGCCGGCAGCACACGGCGGACCTCGAGGACGAGCGCGCGCGCGTGCTCGCCGCCGGCGGCAGCGTCGCGCGGCGCGCGGGCGGCTGGCGCGTCGGCGCGGCGGCGCTGCAGGTCACGCGGGCGCTGGGCGACTTTGATCTCAAGGGCCCGATCGATGGCGGCGTCACCGCGGTGCCCGAGGTTGTCGAATTTGAGCTTTCCGAGGCAGATCAGTTCCTGATTATGGCGACCGACGGCGTGTGGGACGTCATGCGCGACGACGAGGCAGTCGGGCTTGTGAGGGACACTGTGAAGGACCCCCAGCTGTGCGCCAAGCGCCTGGTGACCGAGGCGCTCAGCCGCGGCAGCCGCGACAACGCGACCGCGCTCGTCGTGTTCTTCAGGCCCGTCGCGTCGCTCGAGTCGGTGTGGACGAGCGCGAGCGGCGTGCCAGCGCCCGAGGCGACGCCGACTTTCTACGGGTCCAGGCGGCCGGTGCCGCGGCGGGAGGCCGGGCCGGGGGCCGCCGCGGACGAGGTGACTGACACCTACTGAGCGCGCCGCATGGAACAGCCCGGAATTGCGAGCTCCAAGCGTGCGCGGCCCCGCTTGGCGGGGCCGCCCCCCAGCTTGAAGAGTTGCTCGACTCTCAGCGCACGCACAATTTTGCGGCCCCGCCTCCACCAGGGGCCTGGTTGTTTTGTTGGGCGAGAGGATGACTTGCGGCCCTGCAGTGGGAGGCGCCGCGGCGGCCGGGTTGGGCCGATCCTGGGAGGGCCGCGCTCCCTGCCTCGGTGCGGGCGGCTTCCGCAGCCGCATTGAGTTGGGTTGGATCGGACAGCTGCCCGCGCACAGCCAGGCGCCTGTCTGCCCCTTGCGGTCGGGGCGCTGGGCTGGACGGCGCAGCGCAGCTGAGGCGCAGCCCAGGGCATGATGCTCGCGCGCTCCGCCCTTGGCAGTCCTGCAGTCTTGCAGAGCCCAACAGAGCGGCATTTCGCTCGTGTGGGTACCACCGACGCCGGACATTCCAGCTCGGTGCATGGTTTCTTGTGTGGGCTCTTCCGCAGCGCGGCGGTGGCTGCGCGACTGCGAAGGCGGACAGCTGGCTGGCTGCGGCCGCCAACCGGCTGGCAGGGGTGGTGACAGCCGCGGCCACACTGGCCTTTTTCCTCAACACGAGCGGACCAGCGATTGAGAGAGCATGAGAGAGGCGCAGAGAGCCCTGGGCGGCAGGTCCAGGGGAGGCAATGGGTTTCGTCACCTTGGGTCTCATTCACACACAGCGCATCCACGTGGGCGCTGCTGGTGTCGATGCACATTTCCCTCATGCCCCCAGATCGGAATATCTGGGGTTTTCTCAACATACACTGAATGCACTGCAACCCAAGCTCAATGCTGGCTGCAGCCACGGCTCCCCAGGCACCTGGGGCAGCCAGGGGCCCTCAAACTTCGTCACGGCCCACATGTTCACCTCCCCATGTCCTTGCGCGCTGCGGCCGCGCCTACACAGTTGCAAACCCCATTTCACCCGCAACTTCCTTGGACTGATGCTCGGCTGCACTTTGCGCCAGCTGTTGTAACATCTCTGCTACTTACACTTTTCGGTCAGTGGATGAGTCTGTGTGTTACCAGGTGTGGCGGGGGGTATCGCCACGCGTCTGTGATGCGTGCCAAAAACATGCATCAGCCAATCCTACGCCCGGCTGCCAACCGTATTGCAGCATGCAGCGAGGAATCAGAAGCGCTGGGGCGTGCTGCCGTCGAGAGCGGCGAGTGTGTGCGCCCTGCGCGGCAAGTGTGTGCGCGCCTGGTGGGCCCGGGCCGAGCCACGAGCGAATGGCAGCAAAGGTTAACACAGCTGACCCACATGTCTTGGAGACCCGCTGGCCGGCCAAGTGATCGGTATCCTGGGGTTGCAGCGCAAGCACGCGCCCAGGCACTGCAAGGAAGCAAGGTTGTGGCACGAGACAGCATGAGGGGGCCAGCAGTCGGCTGCTCGCCAGCAATATCGAGCCGGTGCAACGGCTGATTGGGGTGGTTTCTCACCCTCTTGGGGGAGTGCATTGTGGGCCCGAGGCCTTGTGGAAGGTAGATGCCCAAAAATCACACTTAATGGGTGGTGGCTGCCAATGCAGCGGCAGCGGTCATGTCGTGGGTTGAGGTGATGTGCCGGCGCAAAGGGTGCTCCGGAGGTGGGGGGAACGGAGGGACGGTAGCTGCCGACTTCTCAACTGGGAGTGCCTCAACAAAAGGGGGTTTCAGCACCAAAAAGGAACATTGCATGGTGTCCAGATGCGACCGTCACAACAGGGTGCAAATCCGCTCCGTGACGAGCACGCGGCACCGTCGCGCGGCACCGTCGCTCGGCCCCTGCGGGCCCCGCCCAAGCCGACCGAGCGAAGACGCCGCTGCTCGCCGGGCGCGTGTGCCCTGCACCCAGCGGGCGCCGCGCTCGCCCGTCAGCCCCTTGAGTGGCCTCAAGGGGACGGCATGGGTCAGGCGCAGCCATACTTGCGGGCCAGTGACTTGGTGCCGGCCGCGCAGTACCACGGCTGCAGCCCAAAATTCTTGGCCAGAAATCGCACTTTGGTCCACTGAACCTCACGCCACGTGGTCGACGGCCCCACGATGCCGCGCGTGTCCCCAGAATTCGCATTATATGCCCACCACATCCACGAGCGCTGCGCGCCGAGCTGGCCCCGGGTGTAAGTCGCCAGCCACCCCAGCCACGCGACGTCGGTGGCCGACCACTGGGTGGTGTCCGAGTTGCTGAGCTGGTTGTCCCCGTTGTCGCGGACGCCAAACTCGCCGAGCACCACGGCTGCCTTTGCGGCGCGCTTCTGTGTGTGTGGTTGTGTGTGTTTGAATTAGTAAGTGTGAATGTGTGATAGTGTGTGTGTGTGTGCGTGTGTGTGTATTGTGTTTGTATGTGTGTGTGTGTACGTGTGTGTGTGTGTGTGTGTGTGTGCGTGTGTGTGTGTGTGCGTGCGTGAGAGTGTGTGTGTGTGTGTGTGTTGTGTGTGTGTGTGTGCATGTGCGTGTGCATGTGCACGCGCGCGCTTCTGTGGCGCGGTGTGCAGCGAGTCGCGCGGGGCGGTATGCAAAGGGGATGGAAAGGCGCCGGCGATTCGAATCACGCCCATGCTGCACGTCAAAGCAGCAGGGGCAGGGCGGGTGCAACGCCAGGCCACATCGCTGCCTGCACGCGGAGCCGAACGCCGCCGCGACGGACCAGCAGGCGCGGCGCCCCGCGCGCCTCCGCCGCGACCCTCCACCCCCTGGCTCCCGTCCCGACGCCGTCCCCGTGCCCGCGACGGCGTCAAGCGCCATGCAAGGGCCGCAACACGACTGGCCCAACCCGCCTTGTTTGACAGCTTGTCGCTCCCCTTGGCCTTCTTGCCCCACGACAGCGTCCACCGCGCGCGGGCGGCGGCCTGGGTGTTGTACTGCGGATCCACTGTTGTGATGCTGGAGGGGTAGATGTGGGGTGCCACCAGCCGCTGCCGCGCAGCCGCGTCGCTCAGAGAATAGCTGCGGCAGGCGAGGAAAGTGAGAG